CTTCTTCTTCTTCTTCTTCTTCTTCTTCTTCTTCTTCTTCTTCTTCTTCTTCTTCTTCTTCTTCTTCTTCTTCTTCCTTATATACTGTAACTACTTAGCATTCCGTAGGGGCGTATAGCCGAGAGTGCAATAGGATACTCCAGAGAGACGTCAGCGGCTGTACTATGAAGCTACTTTTACTTAAAGAATAAGGATTGCCTTATCCTTTAATTACTTTTCAAAGTTTATGCTAAAGCAATTAAAAAGGGAAAGGAGCAGCAACAACTCATCTCTTCCACAGGGATCTAGGTCTTCCCTTGTACTAAAGCTTTGCACAGAGAATATTAATGGCATCAAAAAACAAACAAACAAACAGAGATGGAGAATATTTGGCCAAATGGGACATTCCTACTAGTTGGAAAGGAAGGCAAAACTCAGAAAAAAACTCAGAAAACACAATTTTTGAGAACTTTCAGCTCAGTTTTAAATAGTAAATTCCGACTACTTTATTGCTCTGCCTTATCTGTTACACTCAGAACAGTTCATAATAGAGCTGACTCATTAATAGATCAGAAGTTGTATTAATAGACGGCGCAAGGAACGCATGTTGCTGTATTTCTAGCAATTTCCGCTTTCAGTCCTATTCTTTTTATGTCTGGTTTAGGAAGACTTTCATTTCCTACAAAAAAACATTTCTGGAAGGATCAGGGAACAACAAAGGGGTGAAAAAAGCTTTTAGGATCTCAATAAATGGGAATATAGAATTTTTGAACGATAGCAGAATGGTTAGTTCTTCGTCCGGTAGGCAACAAATTATGCAAAATATAATTAATTTCTGAAATGAAGCTATGTGGCATCAATAGTCAAAATATTCCTGCCTTTTGTAATTAGTTACTATATAGCAGACCTGCTCACTCAATAAAGCTGTTTCGTGGATCAGTTTATTTCGCTGTATCATCAAACACTTTACGTATTACCTTCCTACGACCAATTAGATCCCACAGATTAGGCCTCCTCCGGATTCCATCAACTAGCCAGTGTCGACTGTCGACCCCCCGGGGGAGGGCCTTCTCTGTGGCTGCTCCAGCCCTCTGGAACGATCTCCCCGTGGAGATTCGGACCCTTCAGGCTTTCCGTAAAGCCCTTAAAACCTGGCTGTTCCGGCAGGCCTGGCCTGATGATAGTTCCCAGCCCCACTTGAATTGTTGCGGCTGTTGACGAGTTTTTAATTTG